AAGCTCGCTGGTCGCCACCAGGTGGTGAGAAGGGGTTGTCTCGCCCTTCCTCTGAATCACGGCGTTCATGTGACCTGCGTCGAGTTCTTTGGCCCTTTGCCTTCCAATCGGACCCAGAACGTTGGTCCCGAGGGTCCCGAGGGTCCCCTCGAGCACTGTCCTGGCCAATTAGTGCCCTTTACCCACGCAGCGCCCCCTGCTGGGCACTGTGGGCCGCTTGTCGACACAGGGGATCCACCTATAGGGGATATAGGATCCACCTATAGGGGATCCTATAGGGGATATAGGGGAAAGGGGGGCTCCAATGACTCAGGAGCCCCGACCAATGTAAATCGCGGACCCCGCTCCTTATGCCTCCGTGCCCAGATAGACGTGAAGATGACTGTTCGGCACTAGCCATGCCAAACTGACAAAAGACCCCATCGTCCAAAGGGGGCTCGAGTCGGCGCAAATGGCCTTCTAACTCGTACTTACCACAACCTCCGGCGAGCCCTTTGTTCCCTCAAATAGGGACCATAATCGTCGGTTTCAAAGGGTCTGAAGGACCCCTAGGACCTAAGGTGCCCTTGTGCCCGCTTGCTTGTGCCACTGACTGCAGTCTGCCCCCGTCCCCGCTGCCGCCCGCCGCTGGGCAGGCGAGGCGGATGTGTCGTCACCATCGTGAGAGCGCCGGTAAAGTTTGCCGTCCAATAAACTTCGGGCCGTTCCCAAATGACGATCTCGTCGGGCGTCGAATCGAGTCTTGCTGACGAGCGCTTGTGGAGAGCGAAGGACGTCGATGAACACCCGCGATCGTGACACAAACGACAGGCCCGTTGGCGTGACTGTGGGGACACTAAAAGAGCCAGACTGGTCGCTCTGCATCTGGACGCCTTCAGCAGCGTTTTGGCAGTTTCAGAAGGTGCACGGGAGGAGCAGACACTGGGTGTTGAGGCCTCTCACAACGACGGATAGCTCCTCACTTTGCTGTGCATGTGCATGCGCCATGTTGTCAGGATTAGGGCTACGTTGGTTGCTGTTGATTGCTCAACGCAGGCTCAGCGTTTCTAGCATGTGGGGAGCGGTAGTCTGCGACACCCGTGGACTCTAACTGAGTACTGAGCTTCATCCAAGATGGGGACCAGAGAACGTCCTCGTGCAATCCAAATGCTTCATGACGTAGCCAGATGGGCGCTTCGCAAGTATCTCCAAGATGCTTGCTGCGCACTTAACCACAGCTCAGCTCTCACCCCGTTCCCTCCCCAGTCCAGTCAATAAACACGGGAAAAACCTTACGCGGTGCGGGTGTTAAAAGCCTCGGCTCAGACCAAGGCTGACCAGCCCAGGCGCAAGGTATTTTGGTTTGAGGCTGCCTCTCCGTTGCCATGGACACGGTCGATGCCGACACGGCGCATCCTCAGGTAGTGACGCAGCTATCGCCGTCCAATGGCTGCCCAGTTCAATACCTCCGCTACCAATGTGAGCACTGCGTCCGCTGCCCGGCGTGAAAAGCTCTCCGGCCATCTGACCGACTCAGTTGAGTGTCATCTCTCCCGTCGCTTTACCCATCCTCACTCTGATGCCAAACCGCGCTACCGCCGAGATTTCACCGCTGGTGGCGTGCGTGGTGTCCATTTGGGGCATCGACTCCTCAGAAATTCAGTCACTCTGCCTTACGCTGCAGCGTCGCGAGAGGTCCATCCATCAAGCAAGCCAGATCACAAAAGAAAAGCTGTCCAGATAGCACAACTCGTTTAAGTCTCGCATCATCCCGCTTGACGAGTTCATCAGCGGGCCTCGGACGGTCAGATCTGCCCGGGAGGACACCCATCCCGTGATCTCCGTCCATTAGTCGGCCTCGGACGTTCAGGTCTGCCCGGGAGGACACCCATCCCGTGATCTCCGTCCATTAGTCGGCCTCGGACGTTCAGGTCTGCCCGGGAGGACATCTATCCCGTGACCTCCGTCCATTAGTCGGCCTCGGACGGTCAGCTCTGCCCGGGACGACACCCATCCCGTGACCTCCGTCCGTTAGCGGGCCTTGGACGTCCAGGTCTGCCCGGGAGGACACCCATTTCGTGACCTCCGTCCATCAGCGGGCCCCGGTCAGGTCTGCCCGGGAGGACACCCATCCCGTGATCTCCGTCCATTAGTCAGCCCCGGACGGTCAGCTCTGCCCGGAAGGACACCCATCCCGTGACCCGGCGGATATCACGCCGCTGAAGCGGTTACCGTCTCCCAGCCCGCCGTTCGCGGGCGGCGCACGACACTCGGACATCATTCAGCTTTGATCGGAGGGCCTGCGAACCCAGCAGACGCTATCCCGTGGTGATGGCCACATCGGCGCACGGGCCGGTGATGACGGTCGCCTTCGCCATTCGCCGGCAGCGGTCCCCAATAGCGTTGGGCGGAACGCCACTCTGGGAACGGGTTCACTCTACCGGTCGTGACCTGCGCTCAGTTCACTCCATCGGCCTCGACCTGTGTACAGCTCACTTCACCGACCCCGACCTGTGTTCAGCTCACTCCACTGGCCTCGACCTGTGTTCAGCTCACTCCACCGGCCCCGACCTGTGTTCAGCTCACTCCACCGGCCTCGACCTGCGCTCAGCTCACTCCACCGGCCCCGACCTGTGTTCAGCCCACTCCACCAGCCCCGACCTGCGCTCCAGGCCCCGACATGTGCTCAGCTCGCTCCACCGGCCCCGACCTGTGCTCAGCTCACTCCACCGGCCCCGACCTGCACTCAGCCCCCTCCACCAGCCTTGACCTGCGTTCAGCTCACGCCACCGGCCCCTGCCTGCGCCCAGCACTCTACATAAACGACGTCGGCGCACCATGTCACGTTTGATCAGCAGTGGCGGGGCAATAAAGACACGTCCCAGGCTTCTTTAAACTGCCACCAAATGATCGCCGGCAAGGCAGGCCGAAGCGCATGCGCAGCAGACCATCTACCTGATTCTCAGATGCCGGCCAATTATTATCAGGGCCCTGCATCAGCGCTAACTCAGCACGCGGGAACAGAAGTCCGACCAATTATGCTACCCGTGCGATGCTGATGTCCCGTCCAATCAGTCCGTGGAAATGTAATGGTGCTCTCAATGTTCCTCATTTTATTGCCACACCGTACATCCTCACTGTACATCCTCACTCGCATGCAAAGCCACGGTCAGCGATACTGGTACGGATTTATCTCGGTACGCGTCAAATACTCTACAGCTCTACAGCAACGCCGCCAACGAAAGCCTACACGTCGGACAGACTACCGAACACAAAACGAGCCGGCGCCTGGTGCCCACCAGACGCGACAGAGCGGAGAAATACCACAAGCGGCGCACGATCTCCACTAATTACCAACAGTCCTCGGACAGTTGGACAACAGTCCAGTTACTGTGCCAACAAGCTGGGGAAGAGTTCGTTAGTACAGCACGCCCCGCGCGCAGGCCGGCGGCGGGGCGACAGTTGGGTCCGGGCAGTGTGGACCGCGCCGACCCCGGTTATGAGGTACGTGATACGGCTCGGCGACGTCAGCTCCCGGCAGCACGCTTGATCAGATCAACGAACGCCACCCAGGGGACTGAATTCCCACGGGACCGTGTCACGCGGAGACACCGCGTCCTCTCACAACAATCCGCTCGCTGAAGGGGTCTAATCTCGGCCGGCTTGGTCAGGGCCTGTGGTGGCTGTGCCCGGGACGACGGGAGCGCTCGCTTCACTCGAGGGATTTCGATGCGTCTGAAGCAAGTCGAGCAGCACTGGCCGCCTGAGAACATATGTACAACACGTCTGCCACATTCATCTTTTCCACTTGATAGAAAACTTCGACGTTCGTTCGAAGGGCAAAAACCAGTACCGGGTGAACTCCCGTTGCAGCGCAAATGCTCGTTGCTACGGCGAATATGGTACGCCAAACAGCGCCTCAAGTCAATGTGCTTGCGTTCTTGGAAACGACGAACAACACCACCGGTCGCGTACGGCAGATGCACAGCTTCACGATTTTGAACCAGTTTACCGGCGGTTTGAGACGAGCACGCCTTCTCCGCAGGCGGAGCACTCGGCTGACGACGCCGTGTCTGAGCAGGTGAACAACGCGAGAGGTCGGTGGACGATCATCCGGCGTGACGGGTCAGCAGAACGACACCCAGCAGGGCGACCAGACGCGGCTTCATCCGAGCCATCCCCTCCCCGCGGCTGATTCTAATCGGTTCCATCACTAGCTGCAAAATGATTCGCTGCGTCGATCCTATCGTTCAAAGTGTCGTCACTGCCGTCACGGGCGGACGCCAGCCGTCGCGTGACGCCCCTCCCCCTCCCCCAGCACCTATGGGCCGGCCACTTCGCGAACCGCACCCCTCAACCGGCAGCTTTGGCTCGGCGTCTCGGCCCCCCGCCGGCCAATACCAAAACAGATGCGTCACATTTGAAACAGATCAATACTGCCACCGAAAAACAAGCCACCACACGGCCGGCCACCGGGGTGTCCCCCGACTGGCGGCGTCCCAGTCAACTTTGAGACTCGCACGTCCTGGTGCTGAGACCATGATCCATCAGATACCTGTCCGTCGGCTTCCCATAAATAAAACAGCGAAATCCATCGGTAAACACGCTATCACAGTCTTCCAAAGAGTCCCGTGCGACGGGTCAATTATAATAAATATTAACTCCGACAAGCGGCCGGCGCTGCTGACAATTTGTCTGGTCTCAACACGCCGCCGGATAACGTAAACAGGTGATCACGCGGGGCGGATGCTCCACCACCGGCCGGACGCGCCAGCTCCACGGCGAGCACGGCGGTCGCCGACGCGTTCGTTCGCTTCGGCCGGCGCTGCTGACGTTCCGCCGCCGCCGCCGCAACCGGTACCGCCGGCGCAGGTGCCCTAGAGTGAAGCCCTTAAGCTGGGTCCGCGGTCTGCTCAGCGGTCAGTTCGTTCAGCTGGAGCCGCCAGAACCGACGCCCGGCCTCCACCGGTGACGGTGAAGGGCGGACACCAGACGGCTGGTGTCTCCCCCCAAGCCGCCGGCACCGTCCGGCACTCGCTCTCAACAGCGGCCCCTACACCGGCCTCTCACACCTTCTCCTTCATCTTCTTACGCTTCTTGACCTGCTGCAGCGCCAGCCGGCCGCGCTCCAGCCCGGGCCGCTTGGCCAGCTTGGCGTGCTTCTTCTTGAGGACGCGGGCGGCCGGCGGCGGCAGCGGCAGCGGCGGCGGCTGCTCGGGCGAGCGCGGCCCCTCGGAGACAGAGCGGCGCGCTCCGCCGTCCGGCGCCCCCTCGTCGGCCGCCGTCAGCGAGGTGGCCGAGGCCGAGGCCGAGCGGGGGCCCGGCGGTCGGCTCTTCTTCAGACGACCCTTCCCCAGCTGAGGACGAAAGCGGGCGGGCGGTCAGCGGCGGGGAGGCTGCGAACGGGATTGAGGAAGACGGGGGAGGCTGCAAACGGGACTGAGGACGGCAGCGGGAGGCTGCAAACGGGACTGGGGAAGACAGGGGAGGCTGCAACCGGGACTGGGGAAAAAGGCCGGGGGAGGCTCCAATAAGGACTGAGGAAGAAGGGGAGGCGGAGGCCGCGAACGTGACTGAGCACGACGACGGGGAGGTGGGCTAAAAGCGGGACCACAGCGACAAGAGGTCGCATACAGGTCGGGGCGGCTGGTGCTCTTCGAAAGTGGTGCGTGTGAGACAGAGCCGCATATCGTACGGAAAGTGTGGCGCAGTGACAGGACAGGCGAGCTGTGGGGCATCCCTTGCGTCTGACCTACGGCCAGACGTCGGTGTTTTCGGCATCGCAAGACAAAAACGAAACGAAAAAAATTGACATCTGCCCGCAGTATTCACCGGGAAACAGTGATCCTTGACGAACGGACCGCTGATCGGTTAATTCTGCTAAGCCGGTGGCAGCACGCGGCACACCCCTGACCTAGCGGGTTTAGAAATCCCGACCATTTGTCACGCTGGGAAATCTTATGGGAGTGCGAACGTAGGCCACAAAGCCATGGTAATAAGGCACGTCATGCAATGCATTTACGCAGGATATTTTTAGATTTGATCTGGACACTGGATGGATGGGTTTCTGGGATCAGACTTCAAGGTAAGCAGTACTTTGCTTGCTGTGCGAGCCCCGATCCCTACCATTCAAAGGTAAAATTCCATGTCAACGGCACACTTTGGTGACGCCAGTTTAACGCGTCGCAATGCTCGGCACGTTAAAGCAAAGCATCCGCAAAAAGAAAACAAAACATATAGCAAGGCATACGCACAGACCTGCCACACGTCGCGGGTCAAAACCGTGTCCCCAGTTCTAAAATGGCTAGTGGGTATCGTTTAAAACATCACATCACCAAATCATACGTCGTGCAGACCAAGCGCTTTCAAAAAGACTGCAACTGGCCATAACAAAACATAACACCGCGTGGGGTCCTACCCTGCGTCACAGACACCCGCTATCGCGCGGATGACGTCACTCACCTTGGGCCGCATCGTCTCCATGGCGGCGGTGACGTCACTGACCAGCGTGGGTGACGTCAGTAGCTCGATGGCAGTGAGTTGGTCGGCGCGACAGGCGGGAGCCGAGGCCCTGCGAGCGACCAGAGGTCAGCAGCCGGGTACTGCGCCGCCTCTGCCCGGCCTGGGCGCGGGCGTGGGCCCTACACCGGCCACCGAGCTGGCAGACAACGCGGCCGGCAGAGCGTTCTCTCAATTAATTTTACGTTTTAAAATTCGGAAGAGCACTCCCTGCTCTGCTCACATTGCGGGCACTTTAATCTAGGGCTCTCCAACGACAAGATAATACAGTTCATAAAATATTGCTTCGCGTCCGCGATGCTTCCTGCGGCGGGGCGTTATGACGATGCATGTCTTGCCAGTTACTTCAAGTGGTCTCACAACACACACGACTATCCTCAAAGCAATACGGCTTTGGGGCGCAGAGCAACACCCTACTTATGAACACAGTGAAATGGCTCCACCACAGGAGACCAATTATTTAGAACGGCTGTGGTAGAAAGACCCCATAGACCTCATAGCGGTCTAACGAGCAGCCGGCACCGCGGGTAACAGCCATAACAGGCGGGACGGGACACCTTCACCCAGCAGGGGAACAGTTCATCCATCACGGAGGCGCCATCTACCAGAGGCAACCGTGTCAACTTGTCGCACGCGACGTCAAATAACCTTCAGTGTTATCTGGTAACAAGACTGGCAAAATTGGCCCATTGTTCGAACTGCGTAGTATGGTAGTGGGGGAGGGGGGGGGGGGGGGCAGGGCAGGCACCTGCGACGACAGTGCCGTTTTCTACACAAACAGTGCCTAGCGAGGACCAGTCGCACCGGTACTTCAGATGAAAGAACCACAGCCGCATAACATGACGCACGTAGTATTATTTGTGCGTCCTGTAAACTTCTGAGCCTGCCACTGTTCTCAGTGCAAGGTGGAAAACGGCCAGATTGCCAATTCACTGATATGTGGTACAATCTGCATGGACAGCATACGATACACACTGCCTGCAAAACGGACGTAGCAAAACACCGTAAACCTTAGCCGGCCAGAATGGGGTCTCCCGAAACAGTTAGCACGCCATATTTCATGGGCTTAGTCCATTTTCGAAAGCTGGTTGTCGAAGTGAAATACATCATGTAATGGCGACATGGGAGGTCTGATAGACTGGCGTGATTCGCGACTTCAGATCACGCATGGCGGCAGGAGCGACCTAAAGATGACGAAGAAATCCCCAAAACTGAAGGCATATCACTCACATGGTCTTTCACTTATCCACCTGTTGAAAACATAATACAAAGGGCTATTTAGTTTTGCGTATTGGCTCCGACACGAGAAGGCATAAAAGACGATATGAAATTAAGAACAAAACTTTGTTTTTAAGATTCAGTCCGGCCCCAAAAGGCCCGTTAAAAGGCCCTAAAATGGACGGCTTTCTGAACATCAGCGTTCATGCTAAGCAATGCTCGTTGCGTGAGCCCTGGCCCAACCATCCCATCGTGAAATCCCCGCTGAACTGTCCGCCCTGCCGCCCTCTGACGTCACCTGACCTTCAACGAGGCCGCTATCGCCGGCCGCAGGTCATCCCAGCCAAGAACAAATAATAAGCGTCTGAAGCGACTCGAACCCACCCCGCCACGTGGGCGTGGACCGGAGGGCGTGCGCTGAAACCAGCTGAGCTATGAGGGCACAAGGAGAAGGCGCTCTTGCCCAGCAAAAAACTCCTATATATTTTCGCCACAAATCTGTAAAAACAATAAGCTAACACCTCGAAGTCAGTGTACGACATTCAGAGATATCAGATGCCCGAGTTATACGCTTCCAAGGAAGCTTTCCTCTTGATTTGGGTATTTCAAATAAATGTTCCATTCGTACTGCATTTCTTTTGAAGTCGTCAATTTGAAACCATAACACTCGCTTTCATCTCAGTACAATGAAACGCCGTCAATTTAATTTCCGAAAAGCAGGGAGAAGCTAGCAGAATCACAATCACCACAACTCGAAAAAGATAAATCTCAAGCGCGAAAAGGAGTTCCCATTCTGCCCTGCATACACCAGTCAGGTAAATACAAACATATATATATATATATATATATATATATATATATATATATATATATATATACATATATATATATATATGTACACACACACATATATATATATATATATATATATATATATATATATATATATATATATATAGATGTGTGTGTGTGTGGTGTGTGGTGTGTGGTGTGTGGTGTGTGGTGTGTGCGTGCGCGTGCGCGTGCGCGTGCGCGTTGTGCGTGTGCGTGTGCGTGTGCGTGGTGCGTGTGCGTGTGCGTGTGCGTGTGTGTGTGTGTGTGTGGTTGTGGTGTGTGTGTGTGTGTGTGTGTGTGTGTGTGTGTGTGTGTGTGTGTGTGTGTGTGTGTGTGTGTGTGTGTGTGTGTGTGTGTGTGTGTGTGTGTGTGTAGGTGTCACGCACCATGACGAAATCCCTATTCGCAAGAAACCGAGCGCCGAACAACAAGGCGGGAACAGCACTGCCCATGCCCAAGCCCGAACTGTGCCCATCGCATCTACGCGAGCCACACTTGCTCCTCTATCCCTTCCGCAATCCCCAAACCCCCGCCTGGGGTCCGGACCGAGCGTCGCGCCTCACCTGCGGGCCAGCTTCTTGCGCGGCTGTCTGGCGGTCTTCTCGGCCGCCAGCTGGGCCGGGCCGCCGGCCGCCGACGTCGAGGGCTCGGCCGGCTCGCGCGGCGCCGGCGCCGGCCGCTTGGCACGCGGCGGCCGGGCCGACTTCTTGGCCGTCAGGCGCGTGCTGCCGCGCGTCTTGACGGCCGGCCGGCGCGCCAGCCGCGGCGCCGGCGTCCCCGCCTCCGCCCCGGCGGCACCGCCAGCCGCCACGCCGCCGGGGGCAAGCCCCGCCGCCGGCGCCGCCTCGGACTGCGGCGGCGAGCCGGCGGTGGTCGGTCGGCCGCCGGGCCGGGCCGGCGCGCCGGCGGCCGGCGGCGAGGCGCGCGGGCTGTTGCTGGCGCTGCTGAGCGCGCCGGCGAAGCTGAGCGGCGAGCTGCCACAGCTCTCGAGCCGGCCCGGCGGCAGCTCGTCCGGCAGCGTGGCCGACTCGTCCTGCGCGTCCAGCGTCGGCTCACTGCGGCCCGCCCAGCCGCCGCCGGCGCCGCCGGCGCCGCTGGCTGGCGCCGCCGTCCGAGGCCAGCTGTGCGTAGCCGACGGTGCAGGCCGTGGACTCGAGCTCGCCGGTGCTGGCCGAGCCCATGAAGAGGTTGGAGAAACTGACGGGCGGCGTGCTGACCAGCTGGATCAGGTGGCCGAGACTGCGGCACGGCGGCAGCGCCTCCGGCACCGGTGCCGCCGCCTCCTCCGGCTTCGCCACGCGCTTCCTCCGCTTCGGCGCGCGCGCTTCGCCGGCTTCGCCAGCCCGGACGCAGCCGGCAGCTGGTCGGCCCACGCCATGCCCGCCACCTGGTGCTTGTCGCCCAGGATGAGGTTGAGGTTGCCGACGACAGAGGACTCTGGGCGCGGCGCCTCGGCCAGCCCGGCGTTGACGAGACTGGCGGAGCGCCGGAGCTTGGGCGCGCCCCGCCCCAGCACGGCGCTCTCGCCCAGCTTGACCGGCGTCGGCTTGAGCACCTTGCGCTTCTCGGAGAGGGCGCGCCGACCGGCCGGCTTGCGGGTGAGGCCCGGCGGGGTGTTTCCTGACGGTGGGTCACGATACGGGTCAGCGAGGGGCCACCACCCGCTGGAATCCGCCCCTCTTATCCTCTATCTCGCTTCATCCTGCATCCTCGCGACACCCCGCTTATCCGGGGCAGGCTGCATGCCTCAGCGACGAGTAGGCCGAGAGCCCCGTGGGAAAGGGGACCCCGCCGGGTACCTGCGCATGCGCGGGTTAAAGCTCGGCGGTTGGCCCCCCGGCGCATGCACGCCTGTCCCACCGTTAAACATTTTCCTTCATCCCATAGCCTGAAATGACCATGTCTGGTCGAAAGGGCTATAATCCAAAAAAAAAAAAAATACCACCGGCTGGCTCACGGAAGAACACCTCTCGTCTGTTAAACATTCTTTGGGCAGAAGGATAACACCAGGACCCTTCAAATGATGGCCTTTGCGGGTGGGTGATGGCATCCTTCCTCAAAGAAAAACAAAACCTAAAACAACGTTGCCACATACGTTTCCCGTGACCTTTAGCCGCGAGTGGCACGAGCCGATCCTCCGCAAGAGCCGATGACCCGCCACCCCCGCGGGGGAGGGGGCAGCAGGCAGCGGGCGGCCATACCGGGGGAGGCGATCTGGCCGAAGCCGGAGCGGGGCTGCAGCACGGGACTCTTGACCCGCAGACGGCTGGGTCCGGCCAGGCTCACCACGTCCGGCTGTGTGTCCTGGAGCAGGCACCACGCCGTCAAGGTTACTAGTGTCAATGTTGTATCCTCTTGGCGTGATTTGCACTTCGGAAAACATTACAAAAGAGTGGGTCCGCCGCGGGTACTTCACATCCGTCCCAAGCCCGAAACTGGCCGCGTTAGGGAGCGGGACCACGAAGCTACACGTCGTTTGTTCGGTCCCAACGGTTTCATAACACATCGCGACGAAGATGGAGCATGAACCATGGGAAAAACAAGCACTACCTATCCCTTTATCACTCCGAAGGGTCGCGCCACAAATACTGTAACAGAATACTGAACTCAGAGGAACATCCCCCTCTCCCCCGACACACACACACACGGCACGCGGCCGCCATTCACTCCTGCCCCAGGCAAACCTGCGCTGACAAACTGGGCCGCGCCCCGAGAGGTCATTCATCGCCACAGACGTCCGTCAGGCGGTGAACCTCCCTCGGAAAAGCCCCGCTCAGCTGAATAGATCACACACGCCGAAGCACAACAGTGATGGGCGCAGACGTCCTTCGGGCAGACCGGCCCGAGAGAAGCCGGCCGGGCCGACTGACACCACAAGAGGAGGCCGAGAGAGCGCTCGCGCCTCGCCGCCAGACCGCACCTTGTTCAGGGCGAGCTCTCCGTCGGCCTTGGTCGCCGCGGCCGCCGCCGCCAGCACGGCGTCGGCCGACCGCTTGCGGGCGGGTGTCACGGCGGCGTTCTCCTGGTCCTCCACCTTGGCCGGCGACAGCTTCTTGGCTGCGGGAGCGAGGACAGCGCCGGTCAGCGGGGGCCGAGGCGGGACGGCGGCCCGAGCAGGCCTGCTCTGGTGTCCACCGATCACACGGTGACGGCGGCCGAGGAAGCCTGCTCTGGTGTCCACCGATCACACGGTGACGGCGGCCGGGGAAGCCTGCTCTGGTGTCCACCGATCACACGGTGACGGCGGCCGAGGGGGCCTGCTCTGGTGTCCACCGATCACACGGTGACGGCGGCCGAGGAGGCCTGCCCTGTTGTCCACCGATCACACGGTGACGGCGGGCCGAGCAGGCCTGCTCTGGTGTCCACCGATCACACAGTGACGGCGGCCCGAGCAGGCCTGCTCTGGGGTCCACCGATCACACGGTGACGGCGGCCGAGCAGGCCTGCTCTGGTGTCCACCGATCACACAGTGACGGCGGCCGAGCAGGCCTACTCTGGGGTCCACCGATCACACGGTGACGGCGGCCGAGCAGGCCTGCTCTGGGGTCCACCGATCACACGGTGACGGCGGCCGAGCAGGCCTGCTCTGGGGTCCACCGATCACACGGTGACGGCGGCCGAGCAGGCCTACTCTGGTGTCCACCGATCGCACGGTGACGGCGGCCGAGCAGGCCTGCTCTGGTGTCCACCGATCACACGGTGACGGCGGCCGAGGAGGCCTGCCCTGATGTCCACCGATCACACGGTGACGGCGGCCGAGCAGGCCTGCTCTGGTGTCCACCGATCACACAGTGACGGCGGCCGAGCAGGCCTGCTCTGGTGTCCACCGATCACACGGTGACGGCGGCCGAGCAGGCCTGCTCTGGTGTCCACCGATCACACAGTGACGGCGGCCGAGCAGGCCTGCTCTGGTGTCCACCGATCACACGGTGACGGCGGCCGAGCAGGCCTGCTCTGGTGTCTACCGATCACACGGTGACGGCGGCCGAGGAGGCCTGCCCTGATGTCCACCGATCACACGGTGACGGCGGCCGAGGAGGCCTGCTCTGGTGTCTACCGATCACACGGTGACGGCGGCCGAGGAGGCCTGCTCTGGTGTCCACCGATCACACAGTGACGACTGCCTTCGATGCCGTGTGCGATATTAAAGTTGCTGGCGGGAAGAGCCGTCTGGTGCACGTGCGCACGTGATTTTTCGCACATCTATTATCAAAGTAGAATAGCGTGGCACTTAACATGGATACAATTCATTCCTGCAATATGTTCGCCACGTCCACGAACGTCCACAGTGCGCCGTGGGTGGTTACACTAATACGTGCTCACACAGATGTGGGACCAATGCAGTTCTTCACAGCACGCCGCAACAGAATCAGAACAGTGACGGAATAACCGTGAGGGACATCAACACGCCGGTTCGTGTCCGGCCGTCGCGCCCCGTGCGTGTGCGTGTGCGTGTGCGTGTGCGTGCGCGCGTGCGTGGGTGTGTGTGTGTGTGCGCGCGCGCGCGCGTGCGTGCGCGTGCGCGTGCGCGTGCGCGTGCGCGTGCGCGTGCGCGTGCGCGTGCGCGTGCGCGTGCGCGTGCGCGTGCGCGTGTGCGTGTGCGTGTGCGTGTGCGTGTGCGTGTGCGTGTGCGTGTGCGTGTGCGTGTGCGTGTGCGTGTGCGTGTGCGTGTGCGTGTGCGTGTGCGTGTGTGTGTGTGTGTGTGTGTGTGTGTGTGTGTGTGTGTGTGTGTGTGTGTGTGTTGTGATTGGGGCTTACGACGCACTCAGCTGCTGAGGCTATATGGCGTCGCCTGCCTCTCACCCTGGCAGGAAGGGCGGGCACCGCGGGTAATCGAACCCCGTACCTCTGGTTTCCCAGACGCGCAGTAGCCAACGCAGACGCGCTAACCACTACACTACCGACACCCTTCCGTCGCGCCCCTCTGACCCAACTACCCGCCTTGCTGCTGACCTTTCCTGAGTCGGCGGGCGGGCCGGCGGCGGTCTCGGGCGTCGCCGCAGCGGCCGGGCGAGACGGCCGGCGCCAGGCGACGCTGCGGAGGCCCGGCCGGCGAACCCACCGCCGCCGCCGCCGTCGGGCTGCGCTCCTCAGGCGGGCACGACGTCTGAAGCGGAGAGAGAGCGGCGCTGCCATCAGACGCCCGACGGACCGGGGTCTGGCCGACACCGGACACACGCGACTCTCCCGTTGGGATGTGCTCACAACACGCCATTTGTGGCGTGGCACAGCAGAGACAATGCAGTGTTAACGGCTTGCGCGCTGCGTACCAGACAAAAGACACGGGCAGAGGAAACCACACGCCCGACAGGAGTAACACCAGTCGCGAGCTGTAGGCCTGGAGAGGACACGGCGTACGTGAAATGCCAGATCTAAGGTGGCGTACACCTGACCGCGTTTTCAGCTGGCGTCCCCAACCCAAACAATCCACGCACGGTGATGACGGAGGTGTGCACAGTGAACCGGGCCGGTCTGCCGGGAGAGGACGAACACTGAGCGGCGCCGGCGCCGGCGGGGCGCGGCGCGGCGGGGCGTGGCGGGGCACTCACGCGCCGCTGCCGCTCGCTGGTGAGCGTCTTCATGGTGCGGGCCGTCTTCTCCGGCGAGAACAGGATGTTGTTCTCGCCGAACTTGGTCACCTGCATGAACCTGCGGAGGCGGGGCGTGCTGCGGTGAGCGTCTGATCATGGCCGCGGACACGCGGCTAGGAGATGTCTGCTCATGGCCACAGACACGCAGCTAGGAAACGTCTGTTCATGGCCACAGTCACGCGGCTAGCAGACGTCTGCTCACGGTAACAGGCAAACGGCTAGGAGACGCCTGCTCACGGCCACAGACACGCGGCCAGGAGACGTCTGCTCACGGCCACAGACACGCGGCTAGGAGACGTCTGCTCACGGCCACAGACACGCGACTAGAAGACGTCTGCTCACGGCCACAGACACGCGGCTGGGAGACGCCTGCTCACGGCCACAGACACGCAGCTAGGAGACGTCTGCTCACGGCCACAGACACGCGACGAGAAGACGTCTGCCCACGGTCACAGACAAGCGGCTAGGAGACGTCTGCTCACGGCCACAGACGCGCGGCTAGGAGACGTCTGCTCACGGCCGCAGACACGCGGCTAGGAGACGTCTGCTCACGGCCACAGACACGCAGCTAGGAGACGTCTGCTCACGGCCACAGACACGCGGCTAGGAGACGTCTGCTCACGGCCACAGACACGCGGCTAGGAGACGTCTGCTCACGGCCACAGACACGCGGCTAGGAGACGTCTGCTCACGGCCACAGACACGCAGCTAGGAGACGTCTGCTCACGGCCACAGACATGCGGCTAGGAGACGTCTGCTCACGGCCAGAGACACGCGGCTAGGAGACGTCTGCTCACGGCCACAGACACGCGGCTAGGAGACGTCTGCTCACGGCCAGAGACACGCGGCTAGGAGACGTCTGTTCACGGCCACAGACACGCGGCTAGGAGGACGTCTGCTCACGGCCGCAGACACGCAGCTAGGAGACGGAGCGGTGCCCACTGCCCGCCGCGACCGCAGGTCGGCAGCGGGCGGGGCGGTACCCACTGACCTTCTAATCCAGGCGCGCACGCCGGCCGGCAGCGGGTGGGGCGGTACCCACTGACCTTCTAATCCAGGCGCGCACGCCGGCCGGCAGCAGGCGGGGCAGTGCCCACTGACGTTCTGATCCAGGCGCGCACGCCGGCCGTGGGCGGACGGGGAGGTACCCACTGACCTCCTGATCCAGGCGCGCATGCCGGCCGTGGGCGGGCGGGGCGGTGCCCACTGACCTTCTGATCCAGGCGCGCACGCCGGCCGTGTCCCGGTACTCGGAGCGGCCCAGCCGCGAGAGCGGGTTGTCGCCCGTCACGTCCAGGATGGAGACCATCAGCGCCTCGCCCACCTGGCCACGGCACCGCATGTCAGACAGCCGCCCAACCAGCCACCCACCACCAAACGCTGGCTACCCACCCTGCCACCCGACACCGCACGTCAGACAGCCGCACACCCAGCCACCCTTTACATGGGCAACGCACGTGAGACGGCCGCCCACCCAGCCCCCCCCCCCCCCCTTACATGGGCAATGCACGTCAGACGGCCGCCCACCCAGCCGCCCGTTACGCGCTGGTCACCTACCCAGTCACCCGCTACACGAGCACCGCACGTCAGACGGCCGCCCACCCAGCCGCCCGTTACACGCTGGCCGCCCACCTAGCGACCCGTTACTACGCGCTGGACGCCCATCCCATGCTCAGAAAGATCTCATTTGCCTTTTTGGGCACATGTAGTTATTTGGACATATGGCTATTCGGAAGAACGCATAATCGTTCGGCGTCCAACACTGCATCGTGTTCTGCAGAGCCTCGCCGCCTACTGACAAACCAGCAGGCGATATGCAGCAGTCCACACCCGTCCGCATCGGCAAGAACAGGACAACCGACACACACACACAATTTTCCCGCAGCGGCCCGTTCGCCGGGGGCGGGCCGGGCACACTCACAGCGGCACACGCCCGCGCCGGCAACGGCCCACAGACGGGCCCGTTCCGGCCCGGCCCGACGCGCGCGCGCACCTGTTCGTAGTGTGCCGGCGTGTAGGGGACGGGCTCGAAGACGAGCGGCCGGTCGGCCGGCGGCTCGCGCTCGCCCGGCAGCGGCGGCAGCACGTTGCAGAAGCGGCCCGTGTTGTAGTTGCACTCGAGCGTGTAGCTGCGCACCAGGCCGGTGGAGCGGTAGATGGCCACGCGGCCGCTGCCCTCCTTGCTGAGGCCGTCCTTCTTGCCCCTGACCGAGCGGCGGCGGTCAGCGGTCAGCGGTCAGCGGTCAGCGGTCAGCGGTCAGCGGTCAGCGGTCAGCGGTCAGCGGTCAGCGGTCAGCGGTCAGCGGTCAGCGGTCAGCGGCCAGCGGCCAGCGGCCAGCGGTCAGCGGTCAGCGGTCAGCGGTCAGCGGTCAGCGGTCAGCGGTCAGCGGTCAGCGGTCAGCGGTCAGCGGTCAGCCGTCAGCGGTCAGCGGTCGGCGGTCAGCGGTCGGCGGTCAGCGGTCAGCGATCAGCGGCGGCGGCTCTACACACGGCACGGTCAGGCGTCGGCACCGGCTCACGCAGCACGACCTACCGCCCAGCGCGCCTGTGACCGGGCTGGCGACGCTACCCACAGCCTCAGCAGACATTATCAGAAGTGACGCCGGCCAATGGTGGGACGCGCTCACAGCGCCTGTGGATACATCTGACGGGGTGGACAAACAAGCGCGGGACAGACAATGCTGATAGGTGAGCATCGATGGGTATCGCGGATTTCAACAGTGCAAGCCCAGCCAAGTATCCAACAAATCACAAGCTGACAGAAATCAGTACAGGCTCTGTGGGCCGGTCACGGTTCACACAGTGATAAATCGCAATTCATCACAGCACACTACTCGCGACAACCACTAAAGAGCAGCTCTCTCCGCAGCCAGCCGATCCACGTCTGCGACACACGTACTTGTGGTGCATGTTCTTCTCTGTGAAGTTGCATGCGAGGAAGTCGAAGTTGGCCGAGTTCAGCGAGACCAGCTTCGGCAGCAGCATGCAATCCAGCATCGTCTCCTCCGACGAGAAGTGGTTGCCGTACATGAAGCAGCCTGGTCGAAGCAATACAGTCGAGAATTAGTGGCATCCATTTCTGGATACGTCCAGCGAGCACTGGCCGCTAACTCTACCTCCTTCTCGGACATCAGTGACTATCTTCCACCACGCTTGCCTTAAGGCTTTTCGAGAGTTGCTTGCTCTCCGTTCCGTCTTTCTTGCGCCAGAGCAGGTGAAACGGAGGGCCGACGCACGTGTGCACATTGCCACCTCAGCTGCCTCCGCTGAAGCGCCATCTGACATACGCGCAGTATCGTGACGTAGCACATTTCCGCGCTGGACCGCAGTATTGTGGGCTCCTTGGCTTGTCCAGCTACCGTACAAATCGCACCCGGATCAGTGGACAGACGTTAGCACCGGCGAACAGTACATCCTTTCGGAGGATGATAGTCTGGGCCTTGAACATTTGTCTTTCTTCAGAGACGGCCACCACGGCGCCATGGCTTAGTTGGTTAAAGCGCCTGTCTAGTAAACAGGAGATCCCGAGTTCGAATCTCGGTGGTGCCTCTTTTCAAACATCTGCATCAGACAGTTACCCTAGACGCAAACCCACAAGCTTCGCACACAAGATATCTCCGTGCTCATTCAGGCTAAGTCGTCATGGTACTTGTCGGTGACAATTGGGAGATAGGCAGCATCAGGCTATCAGTCTAAATCACGACAATCGTCGGGTACTAGCGTGTGAATAACTGCCAACCTCTGCCACACACAAACTGCTACCCAGAACATGGTAATTGCAGTCCGGCCTTCATATTATGGAATATTCTGACATTGCCTGACAGCCAGCCCTCTAGCGTCCCTGTTCCTTGCTGCCCTCCCCTCCCCCTCCCCCCTCCGGTCCACCCCTCCTTCATTCCTCTCCCGAGCGCATACCTCGCTTGGAGGCGTGGCCATGCATGTCGACGTAGAGGAAGAGGTTGGAGTCGCCGTCGCTGGGTACGGCAGTTGTCTCGCTGCTGTCCACGGTGGAGGCGCTGCCGCCGGCCGCCGACGACTCCGTCTCGCCGGACGACACCAGCGACTCCGAGTCGGAGCCGGCACTCGGCCGTGGCTCGGCCCACTACCGGCGAAAGCTCAGAGTCATGCCAGCTTCGGCGGAGAGCACGAGTCACATAGACGGCTGCAGTAAACGTTCGGCAGGGAGCCCACACTCGGCTGTCCGCCGAGTGTGGGCTCCAGCAGACTGGTTTAAACGGTAGGCCAGAGTCAGACCAGCCCCGGTGGAGAGCCCACGTCAGAGACTACAGAACACGCTCGGCGGAGAGCCCGCGTCAGAGACTACAGCACACGCTCGGCGGAGAGCCTACGTCAAAGACTACAGTACACTCGGCGGAGAGCCCGCGTCAGAGACTACAGAACACGCTCGGCGGAGAGCCTACGTCAAAGACTACAGTACACTCGGCAGAGAGCCCACGTCAGAGACTACAGTACACTCGGCGGAGAGCCCGCGTCAGAGACTACAGAACACGCTCGGCGGAGAGCCCGCGTCAGAGACTACAGAACACGCTCGGGGAAGAGACCGCGTAAGAGACTACAGAACACGCTCGGCGGAGAGCCCGCGTCAGAGACTTCAGAACATGCTCGGCGGAGAGCCCACGTCAGAGACTACAGAACACGCTCGGCGGAGAGCCCGCGTCAGAGACTACAGAACACGCTCGGCGGAGAGCCCGCGTCAGAGACTACGGTACACTCGGCGGAGAGCCCGCGTCAGAGACTACAGAACACGCTCGGCGGAGAGCCCGCGTCAGAGACTACAGAACACGCTCGGCGGAGAGCCCGCGTCAGAGACTACAGTACACTCGGCGGAGAGCCCACGTCAGAGACTACAGTACACTCGGCGGAGAGCCCACGTCAGAGACTACAGTACACTCGGCGAAGAGCCCGCGTCAGAGACTACAGAACACGCTCGGCGGAGAGCCCGCGTCAGAGACTACAGTACACGCTCGGCGGAGAGCCCACGTCAGAGACTACAGTACACTCGGCGGAGAGCCCGCGTCAGAGACTACAGTACACTCGGCGGAGAGCCCGCGTCAGAGACTACAGTACACGCTCGGCGAAGAGCCCATGTCAGATACTACAGAACACGCTCGGCGGAGAGCCCACGTCAGAGACGGCCGCAGTGCAGGCTCCGCAGAGATGGGACACACCCGACAGGGGTGTCCCATGCGGGTGCTGTCATTGCATCGCGCTGCGGCGCAGCTCAAATAAATATAGTGGCATGCTCCCGGTCTATAGCAATCTCACGCGATGTTAAAATACGCTACGTTAGCCTCAGCGTTCCCTTTGTGACCACTTACAATTTACACGCACAGCGCACAGCCTAGAGACACGCTTCGGCCCCTCCACACCAATAGTCCCGTATTCGCAGCCGGCGGACGGCGCCCCTGCCTCGCTGCCTCGGCAGCAGCGAAACGTGACCGGCGCTGAGGGACGCACCTGCTGACGGCCGGTGGCCGGGGCCGCCGAGGCGGGTCTCTCTCGCACTGCCGCCTCCGCCACCGTGGCGGCAGCCTCGCACGCCTCCGTCTTGCGCGGCGGCGGAGGAGGCGGCGGCGGCGGCGGCGGCGGACCCAGCGGCGGCGGCGGCGGACGCAGGACGCGCGGCGTCAGCTGCAGCAGCGACTTGAGCGGGCTCAGGTCGGGCATGCCCAGACTGCTCTCGTCGTCGCCGCCGCAGAAGCACGAGGCGTCGTTGGACACGTCCTCCAGCTCGGGCGGCCGCGGCACGGGGGCCGCCAGCTCGCGCGGCCGCACAAACCGCGCGTCCACCTCCGCCACGCTCGGCTCCGAGTCGAGCACCTCGCACTCGGCCGGTACGCGTCCCAGGTGGTGGTACAGCGCCACGCTCTTGGCGGCGTGCACCTCCGGGTAGAGGGCGCGCGTCGGGTCGCCGTACATCCGGTTCAGATTGGCGCCGTGGATGTTGGTGCGGTAGTGGCCGCGCGCCACGCCGTCCGGGTTCAGCATCGGCACCACCTTCACCACGTAGAGCCGACGGAGGCGGGCGGCGCGCGCGTCCGCCGACAGGAGGAAGCGCAGGCAGCCGTTCAGCACGTGACTGGAGGGCGTCTCGCCCGGGTGGACGCGCGCCGACAGCAGCACCACCTTACGGCCGGGGAATCGGATGGCGCGCGGCTCGCTGAGAGCCAGCGGGAACAGGCCAGGCAGCCGCATCTCGCGGCCTTCGCCGCCGTCCGCCGCCGTTATGGTCAGCAGGTCCACCCGTCTGCCATCTAGCGTGTACGTGAGCAACTCGCGGTGATAGTAGATGTCGACAGGTGGCGACAGCCGGAACTGCAGGTCGCGAGCGTTCAGTTCAGTCTGTGAAGAACAACGGCATGTTGCTACTTAAGGCCAACCATTATCCCACAGGGTGCACTGTATGTTTAAAATAAAGAACATACAACATATCTTTAGCTAGCAGCCAACATGCCAACTCCCATCATAAATGACCACATCACGCCTCCGCCTAACGTTGCGATAAAACGACTTATATGTGACCCGCCAATATCATACAAACTAGTAGAATGTTCAGCCAAGGGCTACTGCTCCGCCGTCCGCGACCAGAGGCCCGTCCCGGACGCTTCCAGAACTTAAGTGCGCAATGGAGTGGAAGTTTTACTGTGACTGCGCATTAACTGCACGTTCTGCCACAATATCGAGTTAGCGAAGTGGGTGCCCCGGCTTACCAGATGAAAAGCACATAAGGACTGGAGCATGGCTAGATCATATAAGGACGGAGGCATAATGAGATATGGGGTCAACCTTAATGCGCAAAAAAATTATCATTACTCGCTTTCGTGACGAATATCACCTCAAAGCAGGAGAAAAAACTCCATCTGTCGCCAACATGGTAATCGCGTGTTAAGCGCTAGTACGTCGCAGCCTGGTCCGGGGCCAGACAGCGATGAGGAACGGCCGTCCCCCCACCATATCTCTGATCAGACCCAATCCAGACCATAGAATGCTCCGGAAAAAGACAGCGATGAGGGACGGCCTACCAGACCAGATCCAAACCACACGTTGTTTCGGGGCCAGACAGCGATGAGGGACGGCCGTCCCCCACCATATCCCTCATCAGACCCGATCCAGACCACAGAATGTTCCGGAGCCAGACAACGATGAGGGACGGCCATCCCCCACCATATCCCTCATCGGACCCGATCCAGACCATAGAATGTTCCGGAACCAGATAGCGATGAGGGAAAGCCTTCCCGCCACACATCTCAGCAGACCCGATTCAAACCACAGGCTTCTTCAGAGCCAGGTAGCAATGAGGGGCGGCCTCCCCCTCCCCCTACCTCTAATCACACCCGATCCAAACGACAGACGTTCCGGAGCCAGGCAACAATGAGGGACGAGCTTCACGCCAAACCTCTCACCGGACCCCACCCAACCCACAAAATACCCGATCCACCGCTGTCGGGGCGTGGCTGGGGCCGAATGGCAGCTGGATACCCGCCCGCCTCACCTGCAGTTCGGTGTAGGAGTATGGGAAGCTGAAGGCGAAGTAGGTGGTGCAGCGGGCGTCTTCCAGCGTATAGTACTTGAAGCTCATCACGAAGTTGCTCTCCTCCACCTGAATCAACAGGTCAACAGCGTAAGCACTAAGCGGCAGACGGCTCTGGCCGGGTCAGGGACGGACACCAGCCAAACTGATCGCATTCCGTAGTATTCTCCCTAGCTAAAATGAGCGGGTGCGATGACCACGACGTTGGAAAACAGCCAAACGGATCGGCAGGTACGGGAGGCGTCCGATCGCAGGCTGGCACAGGGCGGCGGCTATCACCATTGTTCTGGTTTTGTTCTATGAGGCGGTGCAAACGGATTATTTGCCGCCGGCCGTGTACGGAAAGGGCTGACATCCCAGCGGCAACCCTTCAGAGCGCTTCGCCGATTCTCTTGACTACACAGCGTAGCTGGCCACCGACGGGCTGGCCCGTAGCAGTAGACATACACATCACACGATCAGCAGACTCTCCCATAACCAGACTCCGATAGCAACAGTCGGGCGGGTGACAAGCTATCACAGGCACTTGAAAGGCATTAAGAAAAAGAAAACCAAGCAAATGAGCAATGGTCTGAGCAGCCATCATGGTGATTCTGATGATGATACTGCAACAGTGCTGGAAAGATGACCTCCGACAGAGCTTTCTCTAACAAGGAAAAAATGTAATTCTCCACTCGTTTTTTTCTTTGAACGACTCTCGTCTCGACCTGGCCTGCGATATATTTCCGATGCTAGTACCGATGCTACATGGAAGATCGCAATTTGAAAACCGCAGAGTCAGACAGAGTCGGGCGGGAGCGGCGCCGAACCTTGTACAGGTGTGTGTCCTGAGTCGCTTCCATTCGGGGGAAGAGCGGCTCCACGCGGGTACACTGTGCGCATGCCTTGGGCGTACAGCTTGCCTTGCCGGTTACAGGTTCATCATGTTGAACCGCACCGTGGCGAACGGTGGCCCGCCTACGAACACGACACAGGGCGTGAGATTAAATCATGTCTGTCTGCCATGGTTAGATCGAACGCATAGCACTCTCCCGTTACAAATCGTGTGCGCGGCTTACGATCCACAATATACATATATATATATATATATATATATATATATATATATATATATTTATTTTTTTTTATTGCCTCGCCCGGAGGCCATTGGCTGACTGACGGCCGCTCGGCGGTAGTGGAGCGGAAGCCAAGCCCGCGCGGCTGTAGTGGAGCGGAAGCCAAGCCCGCTCGGCTGCAGTAGGGCGGAAGAGGCCCACTCGGCTGCAGTAGGGAGAGCCATCCCCGCGCGGCTGCAGTAGGGCGGACGTCCAGCTCGCTCTACCGCAATTGGGCGGACGCAAAGCCCGCGCGGCTGCCAAGAGTGCGACGGCCGGCCGAGCCCGGCGCCGCGGCGACGCGCACGGACTGCGGCACGGTCGGCGATGGCGGCCGGCCGGGCACCCACCGGACAGGCTGAAGTGGAACCAGGTGCGGTTGTTGTTCTCGTACTCGGTGCCGCCGCAGTCTGGCCGCACCCAGCAGTTGAACTCGTAGGCGCACAGGTCGTCCGCGTCTGCCGCAGGCACACGCGGGTCAGAGTCGGGCGGCGGCGGATCTGAACACCGACAGACGCCACGGGGACGCCGCGACCGACGGCGACTGCCCACAGGCCGGCGGTGGTTACCGAGTCTGAACACAAACAATCTGATGATAGAGGGTCGGCGCGCGAACAGAGGTCATGGCATTGTCCGGTGTCAGTGTCTGCAGACACAATGACACCTCGCAGCTGAACACAAAGACCACCAGCACTGCAAATCAATGGGGCTCGCAAAGCACACTAGATGCACAAACACAGGTCAAAGCACCTGTTCATTCATACTGTGGGTAGCTGGGTGGGAACAAGCAAAATAGCCAATCACTGCATCCTCAAACACAGGCCATATGGTTCATCATATTAAAAGCACCGAATGACATGCATCATATGGAGAGGGGGGGGGGGGTTAGTAGTCAGAAAAGCATTAACTCTATGGACATATGATTATGTATCACACAAATAAATTTGAGTGCTGGAATAATACGCAAAACGCTGACAAGATGTCACCATTCTGTCAATCTTCTCACGAACTCCACAGCTGTATGGTAGATATAAATTCAATGAGCTCAATTGCAATCACTAGAACATGACAATAGCAGTCACTCTCGACCACTATCAGACACTTTGTAGGAAAAGCGGTACACCTCAACATCACATGTCTTCCTTAAAACATTGCATCATTACCATCTAATGTGTACTGAAGAGCACACCATGACAGCACATACCCAGACCCATCACTGCGTGTCCCAGCGCACTCTCAAACCGAGCAGAGAATCAGGTGAAAGGTGACTCCCGGTCACATTTCTCCACCACCAGCACGAGCTGCTGGCACATGCAGGAACGAGTGTGGATGTGTGCTGATGCTGGTCTCACTGAAGCATGCATCATGACACAGCTTTCCCACCAACCTTGGCCATCAAAGTGGTTGGAGCCCGGCTCGACCTTCTCCACCCGCTGCAGGTTGCCGGAGTCGAAGTTGGAGGAGATGCGGAAGCCATCAGTCTCGATTTCCATGTCTGCTACCTTCAATGGCTTGAACTATATCACAGATGTTGCCAGGTTTGGTCTGGGGACAGAATTTGAGCGACGATTCAGAATGGCACATAATTAGCTTATTGCACGTTATATGAGAGGCCATGAACACAAAACAATAAGTTGGGCATGTTGATATGTGATATACAGTGACAAAATGAGCTGGACATTGACTAAGCTGAAAACATGTTTTAGACCATTTCCTATCAAATTTATGCTATTATACATACCGGCAGCTGCCAATCAGTCACAGGTGGAATGGTTGGCAACTGGCATGGGTTAGCAATAATATCATAATTTCAGTAAAATGTTCATAAGTGAAAAGCAAGGCAGCTAAAATCATTTGAATTTAGCTGAATTTTGTAATTGATTCTGGGTTGTTTACAAACAAACCATGGTATTAAAAGGGGAAGTGCATTCAAATTTGGATGAAAGTGCATGACTTCAATGTATTCCCACACATATCTTGCTTTTCATTGCATTATACTGTATGGAATCTATTACAATCCATTCATGTAGTATGGCTTTCCAGGACTATTCACCATATACAAGGTACAAAATAGGTCAAAAAGCAAGGCAAACACGCATCAGGACAAAAAAGTGGCAATGGCCATAGCAACAATATCCAGACCTTACTACACACACACAACGCAAGCACACGCCGTGAGCCAGGATGGCATTTGTGAATAGTCAACGCAGACAAGCACGGAGCGAGTGGCTCTCAGGCCCCCCAGTGCTCTCAGCGATGCACGAAACGCGGACAGTGTCGGACACTCCACGACGGCCGGAGGCAGCTGCTTCCCCCAGGCGACAGCGTGGTAGGAAACCCCCTCTGTGCGGCCGAGTTTGTGCCTCGGCAGCTCGCGAGCTCGACCTCGGACTACAGGCTGAGCTGGTTGTGAAGGGCTTTATACACTTTAAGAAGGCCCCTCTCGCCCACCAGCTGCTCAACATGGGCCCTAATCCAGAAACGTCAACGCCGGACTGCTCCTCGCTCGACGCCGTACACCAGGCACGATACGTGCGCTTAAGTTTGTTATCTTTTCAGCCGGTCTAGCTGATTTGTTTCTGCCCCACACGGAAATGCTCAATGAAATATGGACAAATCAGTGCGTTTCGACGAGCAGTTTGAACATTGCCCGGTTGAAGTGGTGGCGGGACCGATAGAGGTTTGCGAAGGGCGTTGCTTGCACCTTCTGGCGACGTGGCCGATGTCAATGGCCCCGAACATGCGTGGGCCGATTATTACAGCCAGCAGTCGCATGGACGACGAGGTTTTGGTACCTGACCCAGCTATATTTAGGTGGAAGTCTTCAGCTTTATTCCGCGGTTTTGACAGGAATCGATTGAAGAAAAGTTTTTATTCTGGGTTGATCTTACGTAAATCTGAACTAAACCAGCATTGTAATGTGTTCAAAAAGTTTGCAACATGACATTTTAGTGGTTCAAGATTTCGAGGGTCTGACGAGTAGCGACTGGGTAGCTGGATATCGTCAGTGTACGCCAGCACTTGACAGCCCCGTAAGAGACAGCGAAGGTCATTTGCCAAAAGGCTGAAGAGGATCGGCCCGGCGACCGATTTCTGCGGCCCCGTAATAGACCAGCAGCCGGCGTACCGCCTCTCGTACGCTAGGTTAAGCCCATCATAAAACACGAATGACAACAGGGCCAGCCTGCAAAAAATATGTCCAATGCACCGGGCACCTACGCGGCATCGGTGCCCTGCGCCTCAAGCTCGCGTGCGCCCAACTCAAGCCAAGGCGCGATGTGCCGAATTTTCGAATTACCTCAGTGCGAAAAATGTTTTGGGGTACCTCTGAATAAGATTTTCTCCTTAGCATCATAATTCACTGCAATATTAGCTCTCTTTGCACTGATATTGGCGACACCGTATGCTGAGCTCCGAGCGCTCGAATTTATGGCATACGGGAGCTGAGATTTCGGCCGCGATGCTGCTGCTGCGTCGGACATGTTTGGTGCAGCATGCATATTTTGCAGTTTGATGCCAGAGCATACATCTCCAGGCAAACAAAAATTCACAATTTCTTGATGTTTTTAGTCCCTATGCATTTTGAGTCTTCTCGAGTACAAATGTTGTAGAAATGGGTGTAACCGTAGACAGGCTGGTCAGGAGGGGGAGGGGCATGAAATCAGTTTTATCAAATGGGTGTTTTGTGCTTCCAGTTATCTTAAAAAATTGCATGTCTGTATCTTTTTTCAGAAAAATAGCACTTACATGTCGGGCTGCCCCCAGCTTGAAGTTGGATTCCCTGAGCTTGACTCTCCTTTTTGTGGCCAATGCGAGGCCTCTTTTTCTACCCTTGATGAACCTAGTGTCACTTCTGAGGAGAGGGGATAATTAATTAAGAATTAAGCCCAGGTGATTACATTAATCTGGCATCCTCTGTAATCACAGACATGTTACCATCATGTATCTTTGCTGGTATGTATCTGAACTTTTTCAGGGGCAAATTCTCCAAAATCCCATATGTTTTCCCAGCACAAAGTGTACATCTCTAAGCTCACCAGTACCATGGCTTCTGTCCCACTGCACACACACTCACCCTGACCTACATCCCCAGATATACCCAATCTTAGTTTTGGCAATTATAAGCTTGAGTGATAAAAATAATTGAAATAGCAATGCACTTGATATTATAACTTTCAATGTAACTCAACATTTTTGAACATTTTCTGGTTACACAAGAGTGACATGAACACTATCCTAGCTGTAGAGTTTCAGTTCCATATTTTTAAGTGATCTGCAAACAAAATCACAAGATCATGATGGTCACTGCCTCACTGGACACTGGTCCTATAGATAACTATGGTATGATAGGCAGCAAAGCTACATTGTATGTTTAAGCCAAGGAAGTGCTCACATCCTATGGAGAAAATGGCTGTGATTACTATGGGTCATTTTTCTGGAATTTATGACTAAAAAGGTAAAGGTGAAAAACTATTACATGAACAAAACCAAAACTGCCAGTGGGCAGCCAATGACTAACATCAAATTTAAGCAAGTGAAGGAGAAAATGTGGGCATGGCTCAACCTGCAGGGAACTAACCAATGCTTTAGTGTTGTACCTCCAACACTCAATACAAATGGTATCATATGAATGTAGATTGTGTTGTACTGTTGATAACATTACAATTTCATTATACCCCTTCTACCCAGCCTTTGAGAAATCCATCTACTGCACTAAATGCCTATAGGGCAGCACACGCAGCCAATGTTTCGTGGAAGCACGCTGCTGTAAAGATAAGCTGAGGCAAGTGCTTGACAAGACTTTTTCACATAAAATTGGTTGAAAATTCAGCATATTTTGGCACATTCTGCAGTTGGTGCATGCAAACTTGAGGCTCAGTGCACCAATGTTTAGTATGGTGCTGAGGATCTGGTGGTTCGGTGCAGTTTACATGATTATTCATTTAGTACAATAAATATATTTTCTGCATGCTTAAGTCAAACCTGCCATATAAATGCATAAAGCTCAGGCCAGGCCAGCCTGTGCTGAATTTCCAAACTTGCTTTGCTTGAAATAGGCTTGGAAAGCATCCTTGTGCAAAATCACCTTGGAAACAGCATAATTTCTTGAAAATTGGGCTTTCTGTATGCACTGCATTGCTGATAACTATGCACCAAACTCTGAGCACTCAGTTCAGTGGTCTATGAATGCCAAACTTGATGCCACTTTTCCAGACAGGCTTTGTAAAATGTGCAGTTTAGTCAGACTACCATGTAAATGGCACTCTTGAACCTGGTTAGTAACTTTTATGGTTAACACCCTCCAGGAAAGTGGGTGATGCATGCTCAACAAAATTCGATTATGCATAGCCTTCAAACACATCAAGTGAAATTAAGTTTAAAATACCGTGAATGTTTTGATCATCAGTCTGTGATGTTTCCTTGTGCACCTCAGCAAGCGGTCACTCACCAATACAAAACATAACCAGCTGAGCTGAACTAATCCAAGTACAGGTTCATCATGTAAGCGTCCCAAAGCAACTTCAGGTGCTTCACGAAGACAAGACCTCGACCTAGTTAAATTTATTCACTTCGTCCTGCCGTCACTTTCGTGCGGAACTCAACTTCCTATGACTACATGCTCTCAAAACGCAAATGATCACAACCATGACCACCAATTGGCGGCTGAAAATTCATGAGTCGGTGGGGGCTATTTTCCTCCCCTACTTACCACCGTTTCATGCGCTGCCTGTGTACACACCCCCTCTTCCTCGCCTCAACGCACACAGATGTTAGTTGCAAAACATTTCACCAGCCCTTTGAGGCGAACGCGACGCAAACATGGTGGATAAGACCACCAAATTCACGAAACGGGCTTCAATAAAAGAAACCATAGATGTCTGATGCCGCTAGGTCGGAAACACCTGTGCCCAGAGTGTGCAGTCGGCAAAGAGGGTCACTGTCCATGGCATTCAACTGAATCCCTGTGCATGAGTGGTCCGGGTACGGCTTGGTGGTGGCATCTACGATGAAAGCAAATGAAGCGCTGGTTTCGGCTGATGAACGCGTGCGTCTCACAAAAAAGAGCCGTCGGGACGGGTTGCCTCCAGCCCTGTAACTCACCCAGTTTACCTTAGTTTGGCCGGGTTGTCCACAAGTCTACACCATCTTACAGCTTATCTAGGTATTAAATGCAAGCAGCTGATGCCCGTCTTTCGATTGTTCTCGTCTGGCAGGGCTTTGAGACCACTGCGCCCAGCCGGGGTTGATTTCCGGTCTGGGATTTCCAACTTCCAGTCGTTGCGCTCAAAGATACAAAGGTGCAAGCAAACATACCGGCGTGAATGCCTCGTAAAGTCATAAAAAGTGCACACCAAATGTTTAATCTTAGGTCAAATGTGAGGTTATGAAAGGTTACGCAATGCCAGAAAGGTAGTTCTGATAGATGTAGTTAAAATGTATGATGAAGGACATGTTCCACATTTGAAAATATTGGAGCAAGCATCATATTTGATGAAATAAGCTCACTTATGTTAAGCATGGGTGTAGGAACTTGGGAAGCGCAGGGTCATGCCTCCAACACGCTTTTTAAGATGGGGCCAGCAGTGTTAACTTGCCGCCCACTTTTTCAGACGTATGTTGCGTTCACCTTATTTTTGTACTGCCTTAACCATGCATGGTGATTTACCTAGTTCACCAGCCATCTTCCTCAAGATGCGTCATCTGTTTCGTTTGCCCATTGGCACGCGTGTTGATTAGTATTCTTTTGGGTGAGGCACTGCCTCGCCCCCCCCCCCAAAAAAAAATTGTCCTCCTCCCTTCAACGGTGAGTTTGCCCCACAACTTTCTGGAGCGCAATTGCATGTAGGGCATTACAAAAAGAATCTGGAACTTGGATGAAATTTAAAGAAGGGCCCATCTACCAAATGTTTCACGGGTAAACGGGCCAAACAAAATGAAAACTATGATATAATGTCCACTTGAGTGCACCTTACTGAATTAGTCACACTTAACAAGCCTCGCGCTCGTACTTTGTGCACTGCAGTTTTTTTTTTCTCCTGCTTTTGCTGCATGGTACTACATGTTTTTAACTACGCGAGTTATAACTATAGTTGACTATAGTCTAGTTTTGTGCTTTCGCCAGTGCTTTCGCATTTTTCAGCGATGTTACAAGTTATACAGACCGCAGAAAGCTGCGTTATTTTGTTACATGGTCTTATCGGAAAATGAAAACAAATCGGTGGAATATTTGCACCCAAAAGGTGGCCAAGTTATTAGCCGCCTACGTTCGGAGAAACTCTTGAAATATGTCGGCCTTCACTTCAATGTGAATATTCGACGACACAATTACAGAAACCTGGCGATTGACACCAGCTGACTAAACTGATAGTGATATCCGTCCGGCCATGACCACCAACACCAGCTGCGTCAAACATGTCTAACGGGAGTGATGCGCCTGCACCCGCTCTGCGGCAGTCAGCCGGGATCTTCATGGCAGACATTACTTGTCGCGGAAAGCAGCTTACACTCATTGTTCCCGTGGTCGTACACCTCCAGCAACGCCTGAAACCACATGACATCGACCTTACGTCGATTACCGGGGCCTGGTTTCGACGATTGACGCCAAACAAAATTAGAATGATGCACAACGACAACATGTCTCGCCGAGACAGAGCAAGCAAACGCATTGGACTAGGGCCGCATTTTCCTATTCTGTTTGGGGGTGGGAGGGGGGGGGGGGGTGGACTCCGCTACAGAACGTCGTCGAGAGGACATTGGGTCAAATTCGGTAAGTACCCTATTTTCTAGCGTATTTTGTGCTATTGTTTTCCCAGCCTGGCCTCACCAACCCTATTTTGCGAAACCTATGTTGCAAAATTAAAACGACGGGTTTATCAAACAATAACGCATTTGTTACGTCCAGGATTTCCAGTTAAGATTCTCGACATTTCTTGGACAATCTTTGGGCGGCATCCCTCCTGCTGACCGTCCGCGTAATAAGAGTATTGGCTCTTCATTTTCAGCAATATTATCACGATCAACCGACGGATTCCTCGTCGGCACAGGACGGCAATCACGAGATTCCCGAACCCAAATTCCGTAACATACAACAAGCGACCCAATAATTTGGAGGAGCTCTGGTATGTTTCGTCTTTTTACGTACTCGCACATGACGTTGTGTAATGATATTTGAATGCGTTTACAAATCCTAATCAGCGAGGTAACGGGGCTCTTTCGTCGGAATACCATCTTTATAAGATATATTATTCTCTAGTTGTTTAGCTTAGTTGTGCGTGTGGAAATGATTGGCGGCATTTGATCCTTTTTGGCATCTCGAATTCATCCCGTTGTCGGGACCTTGTGATTCGCTCAACTGCTTAGACTATACGGCATCGCCTGCTTACCATCCTGGTGCGAATGGCGGCCACTGCACACCTACAATAGTCTAGAGATAGTGACTGCACTCACCAATAATCAGCCTCACAGGAGTAACGCTTCATGGGAGTAAAACGTCTGACGACAATAATCATATTTCTTTGAATTAGCTATGCATATCACTTCTAAAGACAGCTGTCGGCTAGCTGGCCCACTGTACTGATTCGCAGGTACTTATCATCGAGGCAGTTCCCTGCCATCACCCGACTAACGGGGAGCAACTGCAAGTGCTGGCGAAAACATTGGCTCACCGACAAGACATGGGCTTTTCACGAAACAGATTCCGTCGTCCTAACATGAGCAGCAAACGTGACTTCACTGGGATTCCACAACCAGCATACGTACATTCACACCCTCTTATGCATGGTTGTTATCAATCGTGTTAAAAGGGGCATTTAATGTGGTCGTGACTCACAGTCCGTGCAAGTTATATGCAACAATCAGACCCATCAGTCATGAATGGAACCGTACAGGCATGCGCCATGTATAATTCGGAATTTATCCCCGCTAAATGGTGGCCACCTGGTGAAAGGCTTACCACGGCATCACCAGGTAGCCTTCACCCTCTATCATCACTAAATAACACCGGAATCCCTCACCGGCACGCCGGAATTCCTCATGAGTAAGCAGGAATCCCTCAGCGGCTCATAATCCTCAGTCGCCGGAATCTCTCATCGGCTCATATGTGCGAACCTCGCCTTCTGGAGTCGCTGAATTTATTGCAACAGTACTTTATTGCTCGTCCTAACATGAGCAGCAAACGTGACTTCACTGGGATTCCACAACCAGCATACGTACATTCACACCCTCTTATGCATGGTTGTCATCAATCGTGTTAAAAGGGGCATTTAATGTGGTCGTGACTCACAGTCCGTGCAAGTTATGTGCAACAATCAGACCCATCAGTCATGAATGGAACCGTACAGGCATGCGCCATGTATAATTCGGAATTTATCCCCGCTAAATGGTGGCCACCTGGTGAAAGGCTTACCACGGCATCACCAGGTAGCCTTCACCCTCTATCATCACTAAATAACACCGGAATCCCTCACCGGCACGCCGGAATTCCTCATCAGTAAGCAGGAATCCCTCAGCGGCTCATAATCCTCAGTCGCCGGAATCTCTCATCGGCTCATATGTGCGAACCTCGCCTTCTGGAGTCGCTGAATTTATTGCAACAGTACCCTCAGTGACCGAATTTGCTGCCGGTGCTAAGGGTCTGTTAACCCTGGTCCTCTTAACGAACCCATTCTGTGGCCACAAGCTAACCCACCAACGGAAGAATCAAACAACTTTTTCGACAGCCCATCGCCGTTCACCGAATTCCACCTTATAGGAATAGCAAGAGGGTAGCTGAAGAGCGAATCTCACGTTCTGCGAGTCTCGAATCCATCAACGGCGTCATGCATGTGCTACTGGTACTCTCACGAGCAGTCAGTGACGTGCAAAAAATGCGTCCTTCCTCACCTGCGAGTCACGGAGAGATTGGCGAACAGCCAATTCCCAAATTTCTGCGGGAGGTAGGGCCTTTCAACCCACGACTAGACAGCTGCCTACGTACCGCGTAGGACTTCCTCCGTCGCTCATCGTAAGGAGCCATAATGTAAACCATCTGCGACACATTTGGACCGTCGTGACAGAAATAATTTGATTGCACTCGTGGAAAATTCGCAACCGCCCCACGCTGTACATGACATCTTAACTATGCGGGGTAGTTAACTGGATGTAAAACATGGACCTGAGTACAACGCGTCATGCCTTACGTTTGCTACGATCCGATGGGACTCAGGGGCGCGCCGTTACAAACCACGGTTAATAAAGCGTCATATCCATATGTCTAGCCTAAGCACCGCGGGTCAATGATGCGGTCAATACGTCGACTCCGGTGGACTAAAACCCAGGTAGCAGGGCACACAACAGCTGCTGCGCCGGGCTCGTGTATTAATCGTTGCAAAATACTAATTTGCTCAATATGTAGCGATGTTTTCTCCTGTGCGTGCAATATTCTGTCAAAATCGACTGTCTGGCTACTTTCGAGGCCCAGTAATACGCGCGCGATAATTATTGTGCTACCTGTATCAGAGTCCAGCAAACGTATAAACACATAATTGCTTAGTCATGCCCCCACCCCGTTGAACATGACAAGCGACAACAAATTTCGACTGCCTTGTCCACCAGGCATGGTGACACGCGAGTGATAGTCCTCAGTGATGTGGTATTTGGGGGGTCAGACTAGGTGGTCTACTGTTGAGCGAATTCGCTTTTAAAGGGAGTGTTCCCCATTTAGATGGGGTTGTGAACTGAAATAGTCATGTTGAAGACCTTTCGGGCTGTTCACAATTCTGCCTTTTTAAGAGCCGTTTAAAGCCCCTCTTGTT